ATATCTGCACCAAATACCTAGCGAGCATTTCTCTCCGTTGGTTTAGGCTTTTGTTAAAAATGTTCATTTTATTTCTCTTAGTTAAGTTCCCATTTCGTATAATTTTAGTTTATATTTAATTTGTGCCTTTTTTTTTTTTTTTTTTTTTTTTTTACTTTTTTCAATAAAAGTGAAGTTTGTTTTCTAAAGAAAATTAAATGTAAAACAAGATACCACACTATTTATCTGATTTCATTAATAAGTTTTTGTTTGTATTTAAATATTTCTTCTTTTATAAATAATTTAGTGAATTTAACTATTTTTCGGTATTTAACGTTTTTCGCAGTTTGATGGCTTTGCAGAAGCGTGGTGTAACAAATTAATATTCTGGAGTCATTTCTCCAATCTCTGCTTTCAGTTTTGAGATATTTATAAAGTAAAATGTAATGTTTGAGCAAATAATCTTAGAAAGTGTTAGGTTATTTGGATACGCCAAAGCATGCCATCGATATCTGCCTAAGGGGAGGGATGCCTTCCCGAAAGACGATAAAGTTTCATTTAAGATTCGGTAAAAACACTAATAGAAAAAGACAGCGTTTGTTGCTTCTTCATTTTTTAGTTAATTAATATGCAAATGTGACCTAGCGCCACACTTTAAAATTTTTGGAGCCAACTGAACATTCCATTTTTAATGTTAATTTATATCAATACTTGAAATAATCATCTCCCCTTTACACTTGCTTCAGTTAAAAATAGATTGGGAAAACGTCAAAAATGTAAACTGTTGCTTAAATATTTTTTGTTAAATCATATTGAGGAAGCGAATCTCAAGGTTGAAGAATTTTAGCTTTGTTGTGAATTTTACTTCTGTCTTCTTAGCAAATATACGTATATGTTCTTTAAAATGCATTCTTAAATTTCTTTTCCATCAAACCTGGATTTAAAATTTTTGTTTGAATAAAAGTTTTTTATATTAAATAAATCATCCCACCCCCTTATTACTATTCGTATATAAAAGATTCGATTAGGACCTTTTAGGATTTCGGATACGAGAAAATTCAGGAATTTGTCCCATTTTTAGTTACATGATAAATTTGTGAAAATGGCAATTTCAGAATTTACGAGTGGGGAGGATCATTTTATCAATGCTACTAAAGTATTGTTCTTAAGTACATGGAATTTGGATCTGGACCAGCTTTCGAAAGAAGTTAAGGCATTAATTCCGTACCCACTTCTGATAAAGAATTTTACGACATGTTCTTTTTAATTTAATTTCTTTTGTTAAGTAATTGTAAAAGTTTATCATTGTTTATATTTTATTCCAACCGCATATAATGTTAATGTTAAAAACAAATGAAAAACATGATGCTGCGCTTAGCGATAGTTTTGCAAAAGTTCAAAATGTCAGATCTGGTCAATCGCCTTTAGAGTCGTTCCTTTTCAAAGAATGAGTAATGTATTTTTTTCTCATATTTTTATCTTCGAGCAAAACGAAATGCATGAAATTTTGATAATCGTGAAAAGGTGCAAAATGATCGTGCAGTCATTTTTGTTTTTTACATCATTAGTAACTTTTAGCATTTCATTCGGAGTTAAGATCTCAGAAATTAGTTCCTTACCATGTTAAATTCTAATTCAATATCTGGCCTGAATTCAATATCTTAATATTCATTTAGCAATTTTGAGAAAATTAATTGTGACATCGCTGCAAGCTTCATGAGTTTGTAGTCACGTGGTAATGAAAAATAAAAACGGCGAAAATTGTTCGGGGGGGGGGAAAGATAGAATATGAAAATTATTCGACGTATGCGATGCATGATATGGCTTCGAAAAATTTGATGGTGAATATCTATGTATGATTGGCTGCTTTGGCAGTATTGAATATTACAAATATTTGTAAAAATAAAGCTCTTATTGTAGAAACATTTTTTTTTTTCCCCATGCTGGAGGATTGAAAAATGAGCAAAGCCCTCGCCGGGACTCGAACCACGGACCTCTCGAATGCTCGCCGAGTGTGCTGACCACTACACCACGAACGCAATCTAAGAAGACGGGAGAAATACCTTGTATACTCCTCCTTTTAAAGGGCGACTGGGATTAGGGGACCCAATCGCTAAATCCTGGGAGTGAAGAATGATCATCCACCATGCTTTTTTTTAAATTCGGATGTCACTGTAGAAACATTAGGTTATTTCGAAGCAGGAGACATGAAAAATGAGCAATGTTCTCGCTGGGACTCGAACCTCAGATCTCTCGAATACGCGAACTACACCTCTACCGTATAGAATTTTGAAATACATGCGAAGCTTCAAGCTAGCAAGTTGACAGTAGCCTAGTGGAAGAGCAAATGTAGTGTGTTGAAGATGAATCTTGGATTCAGAGTGAGTTACTTTCGACTTAGTTGTACTTTGATGGGTAATTTTAAGCATCTAAAATTGTTATTGACTCAAGCATTTATGTAAGAGCCTGCGTCATTAGCGTTATGTAAGAATTATATGGCATGGATTAATTTTGAAATGGTGCCGTTTAGAGAGATTTATTATAAGCAGCTACTATTTTTAGGACAGAAAGGAGGAATGTCTTATTTAAAATAGAGAGTTGACTGAGTATTGCAAATTGAAATTAGAATTTTGCCTTAATATTTTTTAGCTTTTAAAGTGTTCCAGAGGTGTTTTTTTAATAACGCAGAGCAGGATAATATTGATAATGCATTTAATTGCGGAACCTACGATGAAGTCCTCATATATCTATCGCAAGAACTGGATTTTAAAACTGCGATATGCTATGTTTTTTCGCACATTAGTACTCATATTTGTTTTTATTTCCTATAAGAGAAAAAGGCAATTTTTGTTATATTCTTCAGCTGACAGATGATTGAGGAATTCTCTGTCACCATTCCAATTCTTTTTTACTAACGTAATAATCAGAACTTACGTATAATAAAGATGAATGGTGAGTGCAATAATTTCAAGTGCAAAAATGTACAAATAATGAAGAATGCAAGCTTAGATTAATTTTTTTTGGGGGGGGGCATCTTTTTTCCCCCTTATCTTGTATCAACCATTCTCCCCTGTGACCTGAAGAGTGATTTTTCTCGAATTATTTATTGACTTGTCATTTATTAGAAGAGGGGCAGAAAAAGGATTTGTATCCTTCTCTTCTAATATTTTGCTTCCTATAACTCCTCTGTCGATATATATGTATGAGTCGCAACTCAGAATTGACATTTTTCCCCCCACTCTTCTCTGAGAACCGAATCGGAATATCGATGTCTGTAACATCACACACACGTCACCGTTTCCAATAAAACGAGCTTTTACGATATGCGTGAGCGGAATTTAAGTTTATTTACTTCCAAGAGTTCCGAAAATATCGGTTATAAATTTATTTCTTGTAGTAGAATTGATTTTATTTTTTATATACCCTTCTCTCGTTCGTATGTTACTCTGCCCCCCTCCCTCCAATCTGCCCTGTTGTTACGTGATTCAGATGCTTCAATCACTTGAAGTTGGAAATCAAAATTTAGGTCGGATGAATGATTTTTATGAGTTTCGAGGAAATGGGTTTATTTTGAATCCTCTGTGTTATGTAGTTATATAGGTCGTGACATGGAAGCAGTATTGTGAGTGAATTTTTGCAAAATCTTTTTTTTTTATTATCCTTCTCATCATTTCTTGTAATACGTGTTTTTGAAAGAAGATGCAGCAGATTCAAACCACGTATGCGATTTATTGATTTCCTTTCTATGTTTGTATCTCAGACATGTCTGTCCGTTGGAATTATTATCATGTTACGTCTATTAGGTATTTACGAAAACAAATTTTGCTGATTGGTTCTGCAAATTTTATGTGATTTTTCTTGAACAATTTCATATTACACAATTGAGTGATCATTTATTGCTTTAGAGTAAAACTGTATTCAGTTTTCGATTTATCAAGCTCCGGATTATTCAGAGAACCATTTTTCTTATAATTTGCGGAAATATTTCTATGCATGCCAGCAAAGCGCACAGAAAACGCGCAAGTTTTCTCATGCAAGTTGATCTAACCGCTATCCGTGTACCTTTGCATATTGATTAGCTGGAAAATATTACTTCTGAAGACGGTTTGATATTGAGACGACTGCTAATTGTAATGGTTAGCAAGTTGTAAAAAAACTATAAAACGCGAAGTAACTTCTAAAAAAATTCAAACAATTACTTATTTTATTTTTAAATCCTATTCAAATGGTAATGTATTCTTTTATTATTTGGATATTTTTCATTTTACACTGTTTTGCTTTCGAAAATGTTGTGAAAAACCGAGTTGCATAAAGAAACGTTGGGTTTTTTTAAATCTGAAGTTGTTTTTAAGTCGACTTTTAATATTATTTAACAATAAAGATTTAATTTTGTGTTGCTAACAAGAGCTAGTATTTTTATTTAAGAAGAGCAACATATTTGTATGAATTTCCGCATTAAATTTTTTTTTGAATTTTAAGTGATAAATTCCTTATGAGGTTATTGTTCCTGAAATCTGAATTTTTTCGAGTGCAGTTTTTTTTCAGCATTTAACAGTTCTGTTTAACAACGTTATTTAAAGCATTCTTCGTCAAAATTTAACAACTGCAGTGCACAGTCTCTTAAAATTATTTAATTAGTCTATTAAATTAGTCTCTTAAAATTCATCTTCCCTATCTGATAAAGGATGCATCACAAAAATAAATGGAATGGTGTATTTTTCTTTATTTTTCTATAATAATTATCAAGTTCCAATTTTTAGTATATATACTGCTGATAAAATTCATTATGAAAAGATCTCTGCTATGCTATCCTCAGATATGAAAGGAGTCCCAGAAGTAACTCTATGTCGTAAAACTATGTATGTAATGCGTTTATAATGAGTAGTTTAAATACATGAATGAGGTATGCATATGAGCAGTATTTTTAAACGGATTGTTTGAGTTCTGTTAAATTCTTATCTTCATTATATGCATGCTTTACATAATTTTTATAGCTATAATTATTTCATTTTCTCTTTTAGGTAATATTCGAACAAGCGAAATTCTGGACCGGGAGACTAGTAATCGTTATTGGTTGACAGTGCATGCTGTTGATAGAGGTGCAGTTCCCTTGTCTGGACGACTGGATGTTTACATCGAAGTCTTGGATGACAATGACAACGTGCCGTTAACGACCCTACCTGCTTATTACCCAAGCATACCTGAAAATGCACCTCCAGGTACTATAGTGGTGCAGCTGGAAGCATTCGACTTGGATCTGAACGACGATAATAAGATAAGTTTTAGCATCGCCAGTGGAGATCCTCAAGGGTATTTCACAATGGATCCTGTGAAAGGTAAGATCATAAGTAAAATATAAAACTAGAATTTCAGAAATTGCTTGACGAGAAATGTTATGCAGTAAACCACTTTAGCTACACTCAGGGGAGTTAATATGTAGGCTGACTGAAAAATTTTAAGCCTGATTGTCTTATTCAGAATCAAAAGATCCTACGGGCCTTCTACTTTTTCTTTTTCATATATGAGTTTTTTACATTAATTGCACTCTTCACAACGATTGATTAAACGATTCAAAAACAGGAATTATACATGTTTGTGAAATCTCCCTTTAAGTGTTGCGCACGTGGAGTTTTTTCCACTTTCTCGTGTGAAAATAATTTGTCCCCGTGCAATTGCCTTTTCACTATTGAGAACGCACAGAAATCGGTAGGTAGTAATGAGGGACTATACGCAAAATATTTTAGTAGGCATAATAGTGCTGATAATGGTGCTGAATTATCTCTGTAACGAAGGCCCCCAAACAGTTACTTTTTATGGTATGTAGCCTTTGCTGGAAAGTGTTTAGTGACTCTAACTGCCGTACCGAAGTGCCGAGGAAGTTCCGGATAAAGCATGGTTCTAAATTGACTGCCCCTACACAGGAAGCAACGGTCGCCCACCTGTTAGGTGCTTTCATAATAAAATGATCACCGCTTTTAGCGTTAGCCGTGGCCAACGCATGTTGGCTAATGCCCACCATTGGGGGGGGGGATGATTATGTAGAAGGCGTTTTTTGGGGGAAAGTGTTAAATAAATAGATTTCAGTACAATTCTGATTGTATTCGTTGTGTTGATCGTACAGTACCTTTGTCTATAAGCTGAATTAAGTATTTCATAATTTAAACGATGTGTCAGTCCTTATTAGCCGAGTTCGCACCAAGCTTGGTATTTAAGCTTCGCACCAAGTTTAGCGTGTTAACTTCAGCGCCCTGTTTGGGGGGGGGGGGGTACTTTGCTTGTGAATTATTTTTAAACAAACCACTCTCCAACTTTGTGAGATTTTCATAAATTTTTTGAACGCTTACCATCTTATAGGTATATAAAATATATTGAAAATAAAAATAATCACTATTAAATAGAAAATTTTAATGCTTACAGCACAAGAGGCGTTTCCCTCATTTATGATCAGGAATTTTATTTTTTATATAAATGTATCTAGAGTTTCAACTAGTAAAAGATGTGGTGCAATTGCTACAGTTTCCACCTATAATATTAAAGTATCTTCTAGTATGGCATATTATATCGCCAATCACTTCTAAATTTCTTAAGCATCCCTATAGTAGTAAACGTTTATGGAAGATACGCTCTTGCTTCCTGTTTAAACTGTCTTTCCAGTCAACAGTTTCCTAAACAACCTTTTCCTAAACAGATTTGTTAGTCATGGTCCATCAGAGTGTTAGATTCTAATTTTCCGTGACTTTATTATGCACCTTCGTGTTAGCGAACGATGTCATTTAAGCAACCTCCTCCGCTTGTCACGTGCATTGTTATGCGCATTAATTCTCACTCCGTACAGTTATTGTATATTTAATTTTAGTAACCACATTCTTTGCGATTTATTGGGCGTGGGCAAAACTGACACTGACATATCCGAGTGACGCAACATGTAATTAAGTTATGGGTTCTCGTCATTCAGTTAACACTCGCCATCCGAAACGAGAACCCCAGGGATGTTCCTTGTCTGACACTTAATTGCAATTATTTCGGTTGATTAGAAAGCCCTTGATGAAGGACGCTTGAGTTCTACTTTTAATTTATTTTGATCGTTCTGGCTTCACTTGTTTCCTAGCCACTATTTGGAACAAATCCCAGACGTGCATTAAGCCATTCTAAATAAGGTTAAGAACATTCATCCTGCTCTACCACAATTACTTTTTTTGTCTTACTGCATTTGTTAATTATCCTGAAAGAAAGAATAGAATTAAATGTCATTCTTGAATAAGGTGTGTTTTATTGACAGAACGGTTCAGCATGAACATAAATCAGTAGTGCTCTCCTTTGTTTAAAAAGTATGTGGAAAACATTTCGCATTCCTTAAACTTTTAATATTTTAATTAAATGGCACTGGTATGTTGTCTATAGAAAAAATATATGGATAGAATCACATCATCTGGGATAGCTTAGTTTGTGTTGCAATGCAAATGGGTATCGCATTTTGAGCAAAAAAAGTTTGTGCTTCTTTTATCAGGAAGACACTTCTGGAGTTCGCCAATTTTATCGTCTTCTGATCTCGCTATTCTCGCCTATCAAATTGGTTCTACAGAGTCAACGCTTTTAGACAAATCAAGCTATCCAAACTGATGTGACCAATCAATGGCAAATACCAAAAGATACCTTCTAGCACTTCAGGAACATGAAAAGCAAGGGTGAACTTACGGCACTGTTTGAAAATTATCAGTACAGTTTCTGTCTGTTATTAAAAATCAATTATGAACTTTTAAATTCAAGTTGTCCCATTTTACAGGAAAGCATTTTGTCTCTGTCAGTTTAGATAAATTCTTCTTTTTTAGGTATTCCTGAACACTCACAGACAAAAAAGCACATGAGAAAACATTGCTAAATCTAAATCAGGTATATAAGTTCCCAAAAAAAAAAAAATGTACAAAACTACTCCATTTAGGAGTACACCGGGGATGCAGTTTAAAAGCCATCGTAGATATTGTCTAATCATGCCTTGTGATTACTTTTGCTTTAGAGTTGTCAAAAATCTGTTGTAAAAATCATTACTCTTATTATTGAACGAAGTGCCAAAGATTTGCTACACCGTACGGTTGTTTTATATTACTAATAGAGCTTATGCAGAATGTTTCTAACGTAAACACTTTAATGTTAGAAAATTCCTAAATAATCTTGTTTAATAATTTGGTGCAGTTATAAATATTATTAAAAATTTTAAAATGAAGTTGAATGCCTTTTATGCTGCGTATGGTAATAGGTTGCTACATTCGAAGAAAAGTTGATTGTCGAGTGGTGTCGATGAACAAAAATTTAAAACGCACCTGAATATAAAGATATCGTATTTCAAGTAATTCACTTTTTAAATGTTAATATGTTTGTTGTTGAACGCAGTCTCGAAAGGGGCGTTCAACAACAAACAGAGTAAAAGTTCCTTTCTTTCATTTAGTCCTAACGTCAGGAGAGAATCATCGCATTCAAAAATATGCATGTGTTTAATTTGATTTGTTTTATTTTTATTAAAGCATACTTTATTCACTAGCTGAGTAAAGTTCATTAACTAAAAATTATAAAGCTAGCGTACTGATTTGTTTCAAAATTTAACATGCGGTCATCATATGTTAAAAGAGAATAAAGGGCAATGCTTTGCGAAACTTAAACAGTTTTCTTATAGGAATGAATGAACTTTAATGACAGTGTTAAAAATTATATACAATGGAGCACCTTTTCGAAGTGAAGAAAACTATAAAAGTATATTTCTCAGAGGAGAGAAACGAAGTATGACTGTATGCAGTATTTTCTTCCTCCTTTCTGCATGTCTTCGGGCTGTAACTGCAAGTACAGAGATCAGGAATACGAATCCCAGCGAGCACACTGCGGTTTCTTTAGTTTCCTGCCGTCGCAAAATCCTAATGAATGTACAGCTGGATTAAAAATCATAAGTATTCACCAATAAAGCACACTAAACAGTTTATCGACGTATCAACAGATTCAAAGTTCAAATATAAATTTAAGCTAAAGCAGATCCTGAGTTTTTGGTTGCAGATTCATGCAGAATGCCTAGAAGTTTCTCATTAAGCTATAAAAAGTTTAATGTCATTCGGAACAACATGTTTAAATGAAAAACCTTTCTCAGCCTATGTGGCGACAAAAAATGTGCAAACAAATTAAATGCAGAATATGAAATGAGACTACAGATAACGTCACTAGAGCTAGACTTCAACAGTTTATGTAAAAAAATGCAAACACACAGTAGTCACTAAATATAATGCAAGGAGAAGTGGCAGCTGGAGCAGGAGTTAATGCTATTAATGAGTACATTAGTTTTACTTTCAAAATTTTTAATAAAAAATTCAATGCTTTTCATTAATTGTTCTTACAAGCACTATGATATATTGATCTACTTAATACAGAATCCACCCTTAGAAAAAAACACCTTAAATACTCTTTTAAGATATATTTTTCTAAGGGTTTACCTTAAGAAAGCTTATAGTTCTAAGGGTTCCGTGAGTCGACAAAGTTTGAAGACCACCTGCTGTATATTAACAACAACAGTGAAGAGTTCCCAGTTTACTATAAAGTTTGTAAATCATCCTTACCAATCATTGCTAAATTATTTCCGTTTATATACATAGCTAATATAGTAAAAATCTTAAGCACTCGTAATTTCTGGTAAAGCTATTAACCGTAAATTACACACTAAATGGAATTCTGGTGACTTCATCCATTTGTTATGGATTAAGTGATTTTTGGTTTTTTTAAGTCCTCTGTGAAATTCTTGTTTCTGTTTAAGGTGGATCAATGCTGCAAGCTTCTTATTAAATTGCTTCGAATTTAGTTGTTAACTTAAAACGCTTTGAATATAGAAAGTCCACCCGCCATTTTACGTTAATTCCATTTTCTACAAGAAATCTAAACATATGAAGAAAACACAAGCTTACATACTGTCAATAGTTTATGCGTCTTTACGTCGTGTGCCTTTCTTCTGGAACTGCACATGACTCAGATTAGTCCTTAGATATAGCTAAATGAATGAGAAAAGTGATGAATATAAAAATTGATAATTATGCAAATTTCGCTCATCTGAAGAGGCTTACTATCTAACATTATTTTATAACTCTCTTATGAAGATCTGGTAGTAATGTCGTTATAGTGTATGCTTAATGACTGTCATATCTCTTTTGCGAACTAATTATCTCGTTACTCTGCATTACCGGTGCCTCATTAACTATATTACTGCCTCATTAAAATCTTGCGCAATCTTTTCTAGCAGACTGCTTTGTTTGCCTATGACAATGCACCTGTTTAGAGGGGAGTTTAGTTGTGTTATCTCTTCTTACCT